AAAAAAAAAAAAATATCACAAATAGGATTGGGGCTAGGATACACACCTATTTGACTTTGCTTTGAATCTCAAAAACCTCAGATATTGATTCATCATAGCTAACTGTTCCTTGCATTTCATCATGGAACAAGCAGATTACGCTGAGGGGTTCTGGTGGACAGCCAATCTTTTCCAATAATTTGAAGAGACCTTCTTTGCTGACAAGGTAAAAGGCCTTACAGTCAGGTAAACGAAGACAATATAAAAAGGTCGCCTCTACCCCTGCATTTGTCTCAGATTTGTCATTGTAAGAAGATTATATCCTGGATGCAGAGCTGTCCTTAGGGCATGGCGAAAGCCGGGCGACCATCCTGGGTCCTGCACTTTGTGGGGCCACCGCGAAGCTAGGCAGTGTGGCCATGGCCCCTCCTGCAGGGCCTACCTGGAGCTGTCAGCTCAGTCCTGTGTCCCCACTTGTTCAATGCAGGTGTCAACCCTGACACCACAAGGCTAACAGCAGTCTTATGCAGAGTTTAGATTATGGATTGTATACGAAGGTTTGGATACAGATGATTCTGCCTCAGGCAGAGGGCTAAACTAGATGATTATCTGGAGGTCACTTCCAGCTCTACTTCTCTATGATTCTATGAAGGCCACCTTTTCCTGGGGCCTTGCCAATGGCCAGACTGTCTATGACCCTACTTAGGGCAAACTCAGTACTTAATATAAAATAGTCAGTGAACATGGGAGTATTTTGAGAAATGAGAATTAGAGTTTTCTGTTGCTTCCATGGTCACTTTACATAAAGGAATTTTTATCTAGATAAAAACCTCTTTCCAGCACGAATAAAAATCTTCTGTGCATCTTGAACTCATTGAGTTCATTTTGAATAAGCTCCTCAAATTTGCATTAAGGTGATATGAAAGCCATTTTGAAACTTCTAGTCCAGAACAGGCTTGAGATACTCCATATTGTTTCAAGATCAGTATATTTGGCCAAGTGATGCGATGCTTGACTGAAAGCAGTCCTTCAGCAACTTCCAAGCAAAACGTATGTTATCGAGTACGTGCAGAGGGATTCTGGATCATTTTCTTTGTAGTATGATATTTTGTATTCATAACTGTTCCGACAGATTTTTCAGCTTAGTTGTACTGCCTTAAATCTAGTATAGCTGATACAATGAAGAATTAGTCTGTATTTTTGCTAGTGTACCTGAGATCAAAATTTAGCCAAATATTCTGAGTGGCATGTGACTAGCTTTATTATCTGAAAGGATTTTTTAAAATTTAATTTCTTCTTTAAATTTACTGTATACCCATTTGTACAACGTACAAATAAAAAAACCGCACAAGATAGCTGTCATGTCTTTTGACATCTTAATTTGTTTGAAGAAGGGCTGTAATACAGAGGCCTTAATAGTATTAGAATATCAGCAATAACCCCTAAATCTGTATGCTAAAAGTTCAGGCCCTGACCTTTAAGGAAAGATAAACAGATATCAATTTTCATTTAGAAAAGCCAACAAACATTCTGCATGGACTAAAACATATGACTGACCTTCTCTTCTGACTTTATTAAAGAGCTAATTTCTATGAAACACTGGGTTATTTTAAAATGCCAAAATTGCAATAAATATTAAGAAATCATAATTATGGAGGTCTGTACGGCAAGGCCGTCCTATTATGTAATTTTATATGGCATAGTTCACACAATATGTAAAAGCACAATCAGAATATGCAAAGGCCTCGCTCTACATTGAAGAAAGTCAATTCACACACAATGTATTATTTTCCAAAATACTCTGGTTAAATCAGAAGTGAAATTGAAGTTGAAGCCTTACATGCTTGTATGACTTAATGCACCCCATAAGGAATTTTTAATCTAATGATGATAATTGGTGAAATAACTGCTGTCTGTTAGCTGCAAAGAAAGCACATTTGTTAAGTTTCTATAAAGCCTCTATTATTACAACATCCCTCATTAGATATAATCAAAGACAATCAATGTCCCCATTGCACTCATATTTATAATAAACTACTTGGAGGTATACTTAAGCGTCTTGCTTCATTTCTTGCTCTGCATGTACATTCTCAGAGTAATCATATGAAAAATCACGATGAGAAGACATGTTTCTTTCCAGCATGGATATTCATAAATGAAATAAAATATCAAAAATAAATAATACGATACTAAATTATCATGGGTCATTATTAACATTCTGAGTCACGTGCTGTCTTTACATAGAAATTCTTCTAATAAAAATAATTTATTACAAACAAAATGGCAAACTTCCAATATCTATTGTAGGAGATTTTTTAAGCCTTAAGTCTAAGCTGAAAGGCTTATTTTTTAATTAAATATATTAAATATAAACAAAGAACAATTGTATTTTTTTTGTATATGAATATTCAGTGCAACAGTTCACTAGCCCAGGAGATAAAAACTTTTTTAGAGCATGAACCAGGTCCTAAGAGACTCCATCTCCCTTCCATTCATGCTCATATCACATCCTTGGGGCAACTGCAACAGCAGCTTTTATGGCTATCCTATATTAGAAATGCATTAAACATTTTCTATCCATCTCTAATTTAGATTTTCAGGTAGAACACAAAGGCAAGAGCTGGGATCATGTGACCTGCCAAATCTCCACAGAGCCTGAAGAGAACCCCATAATACTGCCTGGATGTCTGCTCTAGCAAATACGAAGCCATGCTTGCGGTCCTTCTCTCAGTACCTTGGCATTTTAAAATGGTTTATGACAAAACGATACATTTTCTCCTCTAGCCAACAACCATACAATCACAATTCCTGTTGATGGTGTATAAGCATAAGCTATGTGGAGTTATATTTTCAGAGAAGGTTTAAAAAAAAAAAAAAAAAAAAAAAAATCAGATGTGGCTATACATGACAACTTAGGTTTCCTATTTGTTTATTCCATTAAATGCCCAAAAAAGGTAAAATCAGTGTAGCAACTGAGGGCATACTTGTAAATCCAATGATTCTTGCCTTAGTCAATGACAGTAAGTTTTTCCAAGCAGGCTGTCTTAAGCGGATGGCCTTAACTATTTTTGAAGAAGCAACTGTCAGCTCAACCTTATGTCATCAAAGTTTGTAGAGCTTAAAATTCAGTTACCAGAAATAAGCAATCTGGTAGTTCATGAGAAGTTCACATAAGAGAAGGCATAATTTTAGAAGGAAACTAGGTATCCTAGTAATTTTGAAGCCACAGTAAATCTCTAGCCTTCAATATATTCTGTCTTCAGTTCCATTTAAGAAAAGATTAATACTAAATGGAAAACTTTTTCTATGAATGTTAAGTAAAATATGGTCAATGTAGTATACATTGTCATATTGGTAAACTGTTCACTATACAATTTCAAAAGTAATTTTTGTTCCAGCAGACTGTAATACATCTTGTTTTAAAATTATTTAAACTTCATAAAGACGTTATGAAGCAAGGTCATAAAAAAGTAATTTGTCAACAGTTATAATATAAGGGCAGAGTTAGAAGTTAATTTATATTTTAAAGATAGTGAAATAACTGCTATATCTCAAAATGACTGTATGGTAACTTTTTTGTAACTACTGACTTATGATAACTGCAGTATACATTCCATATAGATTAGAGATGGGAAAAAAAAAAAGAGAGAGAGAGAGAGAGAGAGAGAGAGGCTCTAGTCCATACACATGTACGCACACACACACTAAAATATAAACACAGTTTTCTTTTTTCGCCCAAACTGACTTAACCCCAAACTCAAATTACACTAGCATAAGGCCCTACATAGGAAATATCAGCATTTATAACTACCGTACTCTTATCTTGCAGTGTCAGAAACAGCTTTGTACCATTTGGATCCAAAACACTTATTTCCTGGTGTAGACAGAGCCTGAGGTAGTAGGATTTAACATCACAACATTTTTAAATACAGAACTACAGCCATTTTAGAGGTTTTTAAAAGTATTAACTAAATAAATATTTTCATACCTGCCTAGCCCCAAAGTATAACAGTTATGGCAAGTAAGGCACTTGGCTTCACAGGTGGAAGAGTACAAAAACTTGCCCCAATTAATATTTTAGAGAGCACCTTATCATTCTCTAAAACAGTTTTTTGTAAAATATGCTGCATATACAGAACACACTCACATAAAAGGCTTTAGGAAAACTCCCATATGGTTTCAGCACTCATTAATAATATGACTAATCTGAAAGACCAAATGCAGAGTGAGACCATGTATATGTTAACGATACAAATAGAATTACACACACGTACTCATACTAAATATATAATTTCAGCATAAATAACTTTAAAAGTACATTAACTCCTTACCTTTTCTTAGCTGCATATTAATTCTCTTTCCTATCCTTTTGGTGTTATATCCACTGTTTGCAGTGGAGGTAAGAACTTTTTGAGGGGATGGAGCCAGGCCTGATGGTGGTTTCCCTGATGAATTCACACTGTGAGGTAGCTGCAAGTAAGAGTCCGTCTGGTCTGACTGGTTACCCGCTCTAGATATTCTTTGTAAAGTGTGAAGTCCAGTATTGTTAATACTTTTGTTGTCAGCATACTGGGAATCAGGGCTAAACCGGCTGGAGTAGTAAGTGTTCTTTTCACTTTGAGATAACTGTTCATACTGCTCTTTATTTGCTGCAGGAACCACATGGAACCACATGATGGGTGCACGCATGGCTTGACGAAACATATGTTGTGCTCTAAGTTTAAAAAATGAACAGAGAATTAGCAAATTAAGACTGGCAGACTACAAGACATTACAAGCCTAATTACTGATGTTAATTAAGAAATGTGAGCCAATGGACATATTTACTGAAACTAAAACACAAATCAAAAACCTGAATCTGTTTATTAATCATCTACTGTGGCTGCTTTTTGTAAGGTTTATTGCCATAGGGCCAAACTATGGCTAAACATGCTCAACAAACAGCTCTGTACCATATACATTACAGCAACAACTTTTACCACAATTACTGAGATGAATATGGTGTTATTATTTAAATTCAGGATAATTTTTTCCAGAAAGATGGTATCTATACTTACAATAACTACAACAGTGATGCAAACCAAATATGATTTTCACTACAATACCACCTAACATGAAATGAAGCATTTCTGCACTTTCATATATACTGTTTCCCAGCATAAAAACCTGAAAACAGAATGGCTTTTCCTGGTCCTCCTTCAAAATTTGTCATCAAGGCCTACTTCTTCTGAAATGCCTATAATAAACTGGCCAACTAAGAACAATTCATTAATATACAGATAAGTTGGTATCTAATGTACATTGATACTCATCTGTATCTTTTACTTGTCTGCTGTCATAGGTTCCAGTCTGGCAAAAAACCCCCGTGACCCTAAGCTCATGCACATCAGAAGCCCTATACATCCCAATCTAAAGTAAATACAAGGCACCTGCTAAATACTGAAGATGTATAAGCCTTTGCAGAACGGGGGCTTTAGGATCTGTTCCACAGTCCACGAAGTTGGCAGGAGCCATTTCACTGACAATGGATTTTGGATCAAGACCTCAGGACGTAAGTTCTTCAGGATAAAGATATTATTTTTCCTGTGTGGTGGTGCAGTACTCAGTACAATGGTAGCCCAATCTATGGTAGGGATAATGGGAACTGACTACAAATATACATCTATCAGGGTGTATCAACATGAGACACTAACTGTAGAGTAAACTAATTCTCCTGCGCATTACCACATCATGGCAAAAGCTGTGCTAACACACTAATACGTAGAAGAATTAGTCTACTGTACATTAGCATCACTAAAAAACTTGCGCCAGCCCTACTGACAACAGCACCAGTTACTATGCACTGAGGTAGTACCTGTTACTACAAGTACTGAACTTAACGTGCAGTAACAACGGCACATTAATGCATATGTAGATGTGCCCATTGTTTACAATATTATTCCATTAGCTACCAACACATGAGGTATTGATAAGTAAATTACTATTTTCAGATTTACTTCTAAATGGAATTTCAGTAATATTTTTCTGATTAAGTTATTCTCTCTACTTCATTTCCTTTCAACTATTTTTGCATGTCCTATACCTGCTGTCACTTTAAAAAGCCTTCTTGGTTAAACATTTTGGGATTCCATCAAAGCTCATCCCCTTCCTAAGCAAAAATTTATAATGTCACAAATTTCTGCAGGGAAGAATTGACTTCTGTGCATATCATACTTCCACACGAAGGAACACACATGTTTTAAAATGCCAAATAAAGGACTCCAAATTGTCTTAATATGATTAACGTCACACTGTTTATAATAAAACAAGAATCCTGCTTTATTTTTCAAAATAAAACCAGACTCATTGTATTAGTGGGTAATGAAAATGGGCCCATAATGTTTAAGAAAAGAGGCATAAACTATCCAACAGCAACAAAATCTACATGCATTCTAATGACGGCAATTCTTCTGTAGTGCTGTAGCTTGACTAATTAAAAATCACTAATGCTGTAAGAAACCAGACTGTATCTCTCCTTTATTAAAAAGAGCACACTTAGACGATTTGTTTTTAAACACTATTTCCTCAAATTACTGCAACATGCAGTGGTTAAAGGTTAAACAAAGCAATATACTGTACAGTAAATGTACTTACTGTTCAAATCTCCTATTGCGAAGGTCTCCATCATTAATCCTGACAATACAATCATTCTCATGAAAAAGGTTTTCTTGTTCAGCTTTTCCACCTTTCTCCAATCGTTTTACTAATAACCCCAGGGTTCTGAAACATTAAGATTACAAATGATTACACATCTAATATTTCCTCTGTACTGATTTAATATACTTTCATGATAATCACTAAACCTACTCTAATCCTAAACCACTGCTTAAAGAAAGACTAGTTTTGGACAAGGATATCAAAGTTTAAAATCTTGAGTATACAAACAAACAACATCTGAATTAGTATCCACTTTTCAGAGAACACAGAATCTATCAGGGCATTACACTTCTGAAAGATGCATATAGCAGTAATGCCTGCATTTAAATTCAGCAAGGCAGCTACATGTATTGTTGTACAAGAGACTTTGGCAATTAGCTCCAAATTATGACTTCAACAACTAGCTCTCAGCAACACCTCCAAGGTAACAGCTTACATTTTCTGACTTAGGGTGTTGGAAACGAGCGTTAGAGCAAGTTACCTTACAATTCAAAGCTTCCGTTAGATAGAGGAAACCTCAGCTACATTATTGTTTCTGCATGGATTAAACATGCAGCTGTAATACATGAAAAAGCAACCTAAAATGAAGGGATGAGTAGATTTAGGAACCCTACTTAGGCCAAATGGAATATAACCTGAGTAAACCAATAGAAAAGACAAGAAAAATAAAAGAAGCCTCCGACCCTAATACTGTTCTGTCATTGTAGTATTTAATCTTAGCTGCTGTAAAATGCTAGAGAATAAAATTGTAGACAGCAGTGTGATCTTGAAGTTGACAGTTTACCTTGAAGTAACCAGTTCTTATTTGAGCTAGGTCAGGTGAAACAAAGCAATTACCATACAGTGGTCTGTTTGCAGTGAGGTGGCTATCTGTCTACCTCTTACTGCAAACAGGCATAGTTGGTTGTGTTACTCTGAAGTCAAGTAGAAGGCAGGGTAAATCTGCACCTTACTGACTAGCCAAAGTAGACCCC